AGAATTCAAATACATTTGCAAGGCTGCGTTTGTCCAACAATTGTACCTCAAGTCACAGGTGCTCCACATGGTGCAGGCTCTGTTCAGAATAAAGTTTTCCAGCTACTTCAGTCCTCGCCCTGGCTCCTCTACTTCATCTCAACAGACCACATCAAGAAAAGAATCGTTGCTTTTTGAAAACCAAGCAAAGATTGTATCTGTCAATACTTATGCTCCAGCTAGTGAGTTAAACGTTGGAATGAAGTGATGTGATGCTATGTTCAAACAGGATGTGCATGTGTGTGCATTTTTGTATGGACACATGAAGAGTGCACACATGATCAACAACTGGAGTTCTTCCATACTTTTGGCTCCTAACACCAAAGAACTATTGATAATGGTAGGACAGAAATCTGTGTGCAAAGAAACCAAACCACTGAAAATTTTTTATGAAAGCTGTCGATTTGCTTAAGAGTCTCCAGAAACTGACAGCATCCTCCCTACATTAAGTTGCTTTGTCTCAGATTTTTTAATGAAAGCTTTACTGAAAACTCACTCAAATTTTACAGAAAAACAACCGTAGCAATCTATTCTCTCCCCTCCCCAAGTCTCCCACCTATGTCAATCATCACTACTCAGAACCGTGACAAACCAGAAGACAGCTCAAGGCAGCGTTGTAGCTTGGAGGAAAGCAAGAGGAAGATACACCAAGGTTTGCTTTGCTACTAGACATACAAGATTAAATATTCCACATTCAGTGCAAACAGAGCTAGCACTTCTTCCAAATGAAGCATGCCAATACAGCATAACAGCAGTCTTCAAGGTGCCCTCTTCCAAAGATGCTCTGTTGCAAGTAAGGAGCAAGGAATTTGATTGAAAAAGAATGCTGACACAGTGATCAGCGGATGATGATTTCTTGGAATAGTTTGCCTTTAGAACCTGTCTTAAGGAGGCAAAGATGTAACTTGGGTAGGTTTGAATAGTGTTTAACAATAGGGTGGATGATCTACTTAGGGATATGGTTTAATGGGGATTAGGGACGGTTGGACTCGATGATCTCTACGGTCTTTTCCAACCTAGAAATCTATGAATCTATGAAAAGAGCCTATTCTGCAAATCTTTACTGCATAGTCATTCTCAAAAGACAAGGGATGCATTCCCGAAGATTTCAGTCACTATGTATGTGAAGAAAAGATTCTGGAAGAAAGAAATCGGGGAGGAAAGGGTTTGGAATCCATCAAGACATGAATTGCCAGACATCCATTTCCCTTGCCACAAAGGTGCCATAACT